ATAAAGTTTAAATAGTCTTGCGCTATATTAAACATTGTGAATTTTTAAGGAATTTATGATGTGGATCACTTATTGTATTTATATATATAAATATGTTTATTTTTATAATCAAAAGGCCTACAAGTTTTATATAGTAACGACACCGATGCTAAACTTGGATTCAATTAAAATCTGCTTTTGATGTACTTTATAAAGAAATTATAAATATCTATAAAGATATATATATATATATATGTATAAACTTAATAAAGATAAGGAAAAGTGTATGGTCATTTTTACAGAATAATTATTTATTTAAATTTTTATAATATCCCTGAATTTTGTAGTTTGTATAACACGTTTGTAGCGTTTTCGTTTGATAAATCTGGATTCAATCTCTCTCTCTCTCTCTCTCCCTCTCTCTCTCTCTCAAATTACTTTCGATCTCTTAAATTTTGTTCTGGATATGTAGAATATATATGTAGAATCAAATCAAACTTTATCTGTCAAGTCAAATAAAACAACCGTTAATTGCAGGGTAATCTTGTCAGAGTAGCAAAATATCTAGAGTGCTATACATTTCGCCTGAGATTTACCAATTGAAAATCATAACTGCACTAAAAATGAACATCGATTGAAAAAGTTGCTCCAGACTTACCAATGAAAAACGGAATAAACCTGTAGCAAGTATATAAAAGATCGAAAAGATACTACATAATGGAATGGTAAGATGAAAGCGATATGGAGTAAGTACGGAAAGATGGGTAGGAATGTAATCTAAGTGAAGAATTTTGACAGCTCAACGAAATAAAGCTATGGGGTATTTGTTTGCGTATTCGATCATGAAAACAAAAGGGGTATGTCATGTAGGGTAGAGCTGCAGTTATGGCAAATATTGGGAATGGACGTATTTTTATGTGACAAACATTATTTAGCTGGAACGAGTACAGCTTTTGCTGCATTAGAAATACGTATTTTGTTTCCGGAAACATTAGGGTGGGGACCTGTTTAAGACTTTCTGAATCTGTAGGAAGGTGTTGCTTTGGGAGACGGAAAATTCTTACTTATAGTGCACGACATTGATGTTGTGTTAGGAATCGAAGAAAAAAATCGATATAGCTAAAAAGGGGAGAGAACTTTATTCACTGTGGCAGCACCTGAGGGTCCATCTATGTAACCTTCAAGAAATTGTTTTGATAGTCGGTGGTTGTGTTCAATGGATAGGAGTATTTAAAATTCCGTTTGAAGGTGGCTAGCAAACTATATGTCATGGCAACCCATGTGCGTACAGTTGAATTTTGGCATGTTTGGAGATTATTTGAAAGATTATTTGCTTATTGAAAGAAAATAATTCCTTCATTTAATTGTAATGATATCACATAATGCGCATGATTTTTATCTGACAATAATTAATTTGATGATAGTGAGGAATTCCAACTATGACTAAAAGATGGATTTTTTACATACATGTTCAATATAAAAAATATCGAAATATCCAATACTTGTATTTGACAAAAAAAAAAGAAAATATCTGAGAAAGTTGATAATATGAATTGATACTAACAAAATAATAAAAATTTGAAAACTACAGACGTAAAACACTGAAATATCTAATCAATACTAAAGTGTAAATATTTATTTAAGAATACTGAATGATTAAAAGAAATATTCCAAATCTTATTCAAACAAATTAATATTAATAAAGCAATTAAAAATTATTACTAATAGTTTAATACTGAAATAATTACTTTGAGAAAGAAGATTTAAGGTATTCACATTTATTCAGTGAAGCCATAACAAATTAAATAATTTTAAGGCTATGCGCTAAACCGGCGATTTCATTAAATAATTGCTCTATAAATAAACACAAATTCTAAAGCAAACCGCAATTAAATTAATATAATTTAAATATAGAACAACTAAATTGGAAAACGCGAAAATTACACTTTATTCATTATTTAAGTTATTTTTCTGTACACAATATGTGCGGAGTAGCAATGTTGAATATGGAGTAGTGCGTCGTATAGATATAAATATGCAGAGACTTAATAAGGAAATAAATAGAAGGCATAAAATTAAATCGTGGTATGATGTACCATGTAAACCACGCAATGATATAATTAATATACAAGCAACTTAGCTTAATCACTACTCCTAATTGCAATGGAGAAGTAATAAATAAATATATTATTTTTCCACAAACAATAGAGTTAAAAATTATGAAAACAACACTTCATAATGAGTAAGTTAATTTATATAGCTGTGGTTTAGGCGTTTGTTCTAATTAATAATACAGTAAGTGCACCATTTGTTTTATGAAGAAACAGAAATTGTCAAAATTGTAAATTGGAATGACGCAAATTAAGTGTACGCTATCCGAGCTAGTCTACGGTTCGAATTTGGCAGGATACAATTCCTGAAACTTGCCGTCTAAAAATTATGTATAAAAATTAAACCGAAAATTAAAAAATTTCCGTAGACTATGGATGATATAGGGGCACAATAGATCTTTTAGGTCGCAGTGCACGATCCCTTACTCAATAATTGATGATATAGAAGCATGGACGCTATCACAGAATGATGAAGCTGCACTGGGAGTTTTCGGAGAAATAAATTCACCATAAGATTTTTGATCCTCTACGAGTTGGTGACAATGACCAAACCCGAATAAACCATGACATGTACAAAACTGAACACGACATTGATATAATTTACCGACTTCGCTGACTTCATCATAGCTTAAGAGTGCATGATGACATTTCCGCGAAAAAACTGTTTGAAACGAGAATTGAAGTATAAAGTCATAGAAATAGACCGTGTTCTCAGTCAAGTGATCAAGTCAAGGGAGCGCTAACTGCAGATGGTGTACAAGACTGGTGATGATTTGCACGCAACAAAGGCATTTGAAGAGAATGATGAATCAGACCAAAAACCGATAATGGCTTATCAAGAAGATGGATGGATATTTGGTGCAATATATTTGACTAAAAATTAAATTTTTATAATTTAATATATCCTTATTATTACCTCATATTTTCTATTTGAAATAGAATGCTTGCGATAGAACAATAATTTTTACTTAAATTTCAGTCGTAATAATGTAAAAATTTTTCTAGTTCAATTAATTGATTTCGTATAAAAATTTGAATTATTAATTTTTACAACGTAATTTAAAATCAATGTGAAAGGATCCTTTCAAAGACATGAGAGAAGAAACACAATTATAACGCAAACAAGAAAATTTCATACAAAACTATAAGGAATAGCTACAATCTAATAGGTTAACACTTAATTCTTAGATGTGGATGTTATATGATACTTTCTAGATAATATGTGGGTAAAAGAAGATAAGAAAATAATGTAAACATGAATAGAAATATATTTGTAGTAGTATTGTATTACAAATATTATAAAAAAATTAACAACTCATAATAGCTATTAGATTCTATTCGTATCTGTAGTCTATCCTTAAGCTACATGTTAACGAAAAGTGAATAAAGTATATGTTACAAGCGTGGGGAAACGTTATTGTTGTTGTGATAATCCGTGGATAATCCGCTGGACCCAGGTTGATATCAATTGTATCCTTCCTCCCCGCTTTTCCCCCACCTATACCCCAAACGCCACCCATCCACATCCCAACTCATATGTCTTATAATCTTTGCATGTTATCTGCTTTTCAGATCTCGGTAGAGTACAACAACAACAACAACAACAAGGATAGTTGAAATCTTCATAAAAATTAAGTTAAATATTCTTCTTATTATTATTGTTGTTAGGGGATGTGGTATTGCGAACTTCGGGTCTATTGTGCCGCCTCTGGGTTTAGAGTAGGTCTCTAAGCCCTGTTGCGTTAGTAAAAAGTAGTACAGAACCTATTTTACAGAGTTTTATTGCCTCTTCCGTATGAATATTCTTACTTTAGAGTGATTTATTTTTTCAGTAATTGAATATTTTTTACGATTTATAAACGAATAATTTTCGTTGAGTGTAGTTCTAAAATTAACAATGAAAACATTTAGGAATTAAATAAAGACACCTGCACTCTTGTGTGTTATCCATTAATTGAGTATCAATGCATAAAATACAATTTGGAATCATTACCGGATCTGTAAAATCAACACACATTAACTCTCTTTTATATAAAATTAATAATTATATCATTACTGACATTTTATTTGTAGTTTAAGTTGTTATATTTTTATGCTTAACTGGTTTGCTTGACGGCACTGTTACTTGTTACTAGTTATTATTTTATAATATCACTCGCTAAACAAACCGAGCAATGCTAAAAATAAATCGCTGTAATATGCGAACAAACGTAAATAATAGTTTTTGTTGTTTTGTTTGATTTACAATTCTGAACCATTGTTGGCGCTCGTAAACTAGTAAACTGAACTGTGTGGCGTGTTACAGCCCAACAGCCAGCCCAACGAATGACAAACAAAATGCGTTTGCATGTTTGTAAATATGTAAACAATAGTTAGTATGTATGTATGTATCTACGTAAAGACAACAATGAAAAACAAAAAAAAATGCTACCATAGCATGGAGATCAATCTCATGAAGTGTTTTGGCTTGCCACATAATTGCTGCGATAATGTTGATTCACTTGTGTAATTAAGTACGAATAAAAAAGTAAAGTAAATAGTTTATAAAAATATTTTGTAATTTTCAATTAGATTTTTTTTCCATTTTTTTTTTTGTTGAAATTTATTATTAACTGATACGCACCTTTATTAATTATATGATATTAACTACACAGCATATATGAGGAGAAATGTAAAATGATTTGATGACAAATCTTAACTAAATTTAAAAGCTGTTAATTGGTTTGTAAACAATAGTGATTAATTTAATAGGAACTATGATGAGCTTAGACCCAAGGTCAGTTTTATATACCAGTTTTTCGTGGAAAAAGTGTCACAGCACACAGTATGTGAAATGCAAATTGGTAAAATTTTTCTTAGAAAGTTGTTTGAATTCTTTGTATTTAGCAATGCGTTTTCGTTTTAACTTACTTTGGATCCTGTATGCGTATGGAGACATCATCTGAGGAACGTTGTTTTGCGCGTATTGGTGTGGAAATCACAGTTGACCCATAAACTCGTATGGCCTCGTCTGTTTCCTCTTCGAATGCATCATGTATAGAGAAACGCTTTTCCTTGCCCTGTCGGCCGGATGATTGACTGTTGTTGCTGTGCATGTTCGTCTTGTTTAATCTCAAGTAACTATCAAAACGTGAAAATTGCTTAATTTTCAACGCTACTTCAATAATATTTAACGTGTTAATTACTTTTGTAATCAAAATTTAATTATTTAATATTCACTAAAGAACTATTATTATGTAGGCTATATAAGAGATTATTCTCACTTCAAATAGTTCTTTTGAAAGAAAATTGCAGCATTTGACACCTTTTGATGTTTTTCTTATTGTTATTCTATATTTCTTGTGAGCAGTAATAGATTTTTACAGCCAACTTTAGCGTTTGCACTAAGAATTAAAATGAAATATTTCTGTCAAAGTAATTACAATTTAATAAATAATTTCAGGTTTTTAATTTCATTTTCAGAATCTATTATTTATTTTTTAAACTTTTCGTACACAATCACAGATATACAATATTATTTAGCTTGACTTTAAATTAATTACACAATTTGTTGAGATTTTTGCATTTTAATTATTTTTTAAAACTTTTAATTTTAATATTTATTGCACCAAAGATTTTTTGTTACGGATTCACACTTGCATTTAAGCAGAATTTTTCCTCAAAATATATATTAGCTCACAACGATTACAAGTCTCCCGTCTGAACCAGAGAACGAATGAAATAAACAGCTAGCGATAAGCAAAATACTGCGGACAATGGAAGGCAAAACAAATAAGAAAAAAGTAGTTATCAGGGTTGTATTAGCAAATTCATTAATTGTGTTTCGATGAATTTAAACGTAACGTGTTACGTTAAACTAACTAATAATTTTAATTCAAAAAACATATTGATAAAATGATATATAAAAAGGCTTAAATACAATATGTAGAACCTATTTAATTAAATATATGTTTTCATTACAAATTTTAATTACAACAATAATACATAAAAAATTAGTTTATTTTGCTTCAGAACAATATTTAATGGTGTGTATAGTGTTTTCCCTTGATCTACCATTTAGATATTTTATCTATAGTTTTTCTTTGCATAAAATACTGAAATTAAGGATTATTTACAATAACTTTTCAATATCATTCGATGCAAGCAATGCAATGTCATACTAACGTTTCATACAAAATGTGTTTAAGGATTGGTTCACGTAAGGGCCATATTATGCAGAGTGTTTCGGAAACGGCATGAGTACAATTGTTGTTATATTTAATGCAAATTTTAAATTTGAGAATGAAAGAAAAAACAATATGGCCGTTCAAATTCCGGCATGAGAGCCGGCGTATTTGTGGGCACAAAGGCAAAACAGTGTTGATTAGTAATAAATTTCAAAATTTGCGCCTTTTAGAAGCAAATTAATACAATTTTAATACGATTTGGAGAAAAAATGGCAATAAGCAACACAGCATTTTTTTATAAATCGCTAATAATATAATTATTACACTTTTCAGTTTTAAAGGAAGGCGTAAGTACTGTTAAGTACTGTTAACAATTATTGTATGATAATGTAATTATAAATTAACATTATTACAGCCTCTATGAGTTTTTTCTTGCTAGTTATTTTTGGTAGCAAATTGAAAGTGAGCATATCTAAATTTCCTTTTTAATTTGGGCACAATTAAGAAGTAGTAAAAATACAAAATTGGCAATACTGATGTGACACTCTGCATAATATGCATTTTCGGCATAGCCCGAAAGAGCGACTTTTGCCGTGCCCGAGACATTATGCATAACATGGCCCTAAAGAGTTACTTTTAATTTTTGTTTATGTGTTGTTTTGTGTTTAAAAACAAAAAACTAAACTAATTCTTTATCTGCACCAACTCTTTAATACATTTTGTATGAAATTACCAAAACATCTACCTCATATGAAAAATGTGTTTTAGTTTTCGTTTTTAAAAATATTCTGCAAGCCAGTGTGAGTTATATTTTATTTTCAAAAATAAGAGTTATTCCTGATTTTCCTGACATTATGAGATAAAATTAAATTTTCTGTATAAACACGTTTTGAGCAAATCGATCCATATTAATTTAATATATTAATATTAAAATCAAAATTATAATTGCTTGTGCTATGTGAGTAGGGTGAAACCTATTTATAGCATTACCACAAATATATAAGACATATAGGTTTATAAAATATGTTTATTTATATTATATATTTATATTGTTTACGTAAGACATAAATATATAAAAAAATAAAACATTTACTTTCAACGATATATATATATATACTAAATACTATATTAATATGATTAATATATTATTCAATTATTTATTAATAAAATTCTGAGTGAAAATTTTTGTTCATTGTTGAAATTTAATTAATTTGGTGCAATATATATACTAATTGCTATCTAAACGCCTTAACATAATGATTAGTACGTGATAAAAAAGTGCTATTATGATATAACACTCAAAATTTAATGTAAATTTTCTCACAAAAATATTGTTTTAATGATTTTTTATGAAATATTTTGTAAAACATTCAAATGCAAAGATTTTTGGTAATAACATTTTGTTTATAAATTTTTTAAAAGGATTTTTATATACTATACACATATTTAGTGTTGGGTAATATAATCATTTCAGTTTAAATGCGCTTTTTCAACTATTTTTTATTAAATTTTTAGTGTGCTAAATCGGTGAGTATTCTTTAACTTACCGGATAATGAACTATCAAATTAGCAAGTTCGGTATGAATACTTCCAGTTTAACATAATATTTTTATTTAAATACATTTTCACAAAATTTTATATTATGAAAAATAATTTTAATTGCTAAAGCAACATCTAACTAATTTAAAAAGCAAGAATTTCAATTGAAAATTTTATTATATAAAATTGTGCAGTGCAACCATGTAATATTAAAAAAATTCGAAACTTCACAGTGTAGTTATGCCAGTCAATATGAGCAGAAACGTCATTTTTATTGCGAAAATTTTTTTAGTGTACATTGTGAATTTAAATTGAAAGCATAACAAACGAATGTTTGACATTTTCACGTGGAAGAATTTCACAAATTATTTTGTTTTTAACATGACTTTTTGACGATTTTAATAAATATTGTGAAATATTGTGTTGTCAAGATAAAAATTAGTAGCTATTGTGAAATTGAGCAATAATAAAATAAAAGCCCCAAAATGTCACGGCATAGAATGGTGCGTAGCATGAACTACGACGATTACGACTACGACGATGTTTATGGACATTCAGTTGATGATGATAACTGCATATCACCGACAGATGCTCAGCAATGGCTTTATGATAGAGAACGTGGACAACAAAGTATTTCCGCATTTATACGCAATAACAAGGGCATAGAAGAAGAAGATGAGGAAGCAGAAAATGCTGCCTATGAAAAAGCAAGACGCGACTCTGACAACTTTCAAATGCCGGCATTGAATGACACCGACCAAGCAAAACTAACCTCTTGCATTGATGAGGTACGCAGTGTCGTAGGAGATAGCATATCTGAACGTCGGATCGTTGAAACCTCCATACGCTTTGGTTATGACATAACAAAAATACTCGACGAAATACTCAACAATGAAAGCGACAGCAAATCTAAGCGACTGCAACAAACAGATTTCAACGCAGTGAAGACTTTTCAAAAACCTTCTAAAACTACAATAACTAAAATAGTTAGCAAAGAAACAGAAATTAGGCAGGTACCCGCGACTATAAAAATAACAAGCGTACAAAGCGAACGAGATGCAAGACGAGGTTTCGAAATAAATTCTCCTAATATACCGTCTTCACCAGCATTATCCGGCCGCAATACGCCTGAATCGCCGGAAGATTCCATTAAGAGTGGTACAGGTACGCTTTTTAAAGTTTCAAAAGAGCAAGCGCAACGTGACGCACAACAAGTTTATGCGAAAGAACGAGCTGATCAAAAAGGACATTTCCATATGATTGTCATCGGTCACGTAGACGCAGGAAAAAGTACATTAATGGGGCATTTATTGTTCGATACAGGGAATGTATCACAGCGCATTATGCACAAACATGAACAAGAATCTAAAAAGATAGGAAAGCAAAGTTTTATGTACGCATGGGTTTTAGACGAAACTGGTGAAGAGCGAACCAGAGGTAACTAAACAGCATAATATAATTTAACTATCTCTGAAATACCTAAACGTATGTATTTTTTTAATTCCTTTTCCTCAGGTATCACAATGGATGTAGGCCACTCGCGTATAGAAACTGATTCTAAGATTGTGACTTTGCTCGATGCACCTGGACACAAGGACTTTATACCTAATATGATCTCGGGTGCTACACAAGCTGATGTTGCTTTACTAGTCGTCGATGCAACACGTGGGGAATTTGAAAGTGGATTTGAACACGGCGGTCAAACCCGGGAACATGCTTTGTTAGTACGTTCATTGGGTGTCAGCCAGTTGGGTGTGGTTATAAATAAGTTAGATACTGTGGATTGGTCGCAAGAACGTTTCAATGAGATTGTAAAGAAATTAAAGACTTTTTTAAAACAAGCTGGCTTCAAGGAAGCTGACGTTAGTTATACACCATGTTCTGGTTTAACTGGTGAAAATCTTTCCAAACCTGCAACTGCAACTGAATTAAAGAAGTGGTATAATGGTCCACATTTGTTAAGCGTTATAGATAATTTCAAAATACCAGAACGTCCTATAGATAGACCTTTTCGTATGTCTGTATCAGATATATTCAAAGGCACTGGATCTGGTTTAAGCATATCTGGACGCATTGAAACAGGCGTTTTAGGTGCCAATGATAAAGTATTAGTAGGTGCCAATCGCGAACAGGCGCAAGTGAAAGGCTTGCTGATAGATGAAATGCCACAGACCAATGTATTTGCTGGTGATCAAGTTTCAGTTACACTTTCTGGTATCGATTTGAACAACATTGCTGTTGGTACCATAATATATGATCCACAAAATCCTATACAAGTAACTAGTCGCTTCCAAGCACGTATACTTGTTTTTAATTTGAAGGTGCCAATCACAATTGGTTGTCCAGTGCTGTTGCATCATCAGTCACTGATAGAACCAGCTGTTATATCGAAATTAACAGCACAAATTCACAAGGGAACAGGTGAAGTTGTTAAGAAAAAACCGCGTTGTCTGGGTAATAACACATGTGCCTTAGTTGAATTGGAAACGATACGTCCAATTTGTATGGAACTTTACTCGGACTTCAAGGAATTAGGCAGAGTTATGTTGAGAGTGAGCGGCGTTACAATTGCTGCTGGAATGGTTACAAAAATTCGTTGAACTCTTGGAATTTTAGTTTAGATTTTTATGGTTGTTTTTATTTTAATATAACTTGTTTTTATAAATAAAAATAACGAAATGCTTTGGTATACATATATAAATAATAAAAAATTTAGTTAGTAATTTTGGATCTTTTATTCTTTATAAAATTATAGGTTATATATATCTGGTTGTCTGGTTGAATCAGTTTCACTTGAAAGATCGTGCGTATCAGCGTTCTCTATACGCTGGTCATTGCGGTTCCTTGGGGAGTCCTTCTGGTTGGCATATGAGCAACGTTGGCCCGCGATATCATAACGGGCGTATATTTGAGTTCAAGTGGATTTTGGTGTACCAGGCTGTCAGACCAATAACCTAACTTACATTGCTAAGGGAAGTACGCATTAAAGTTATAGAAAAGTTCAAACATATATAAAATAGTTAAAAAATCGTGGTTTTCAAATAAACTTTATTACAGAAGGGTCCTTGGCGTGTCCAATTTTTACAATATCTGATAGTAATCATATATATAATAATTTATTTATAATAATATTCTTGATATTTAATTGTTTCGTACAACTGTTATGTTTAAATATTATTATTTAATTAAATTGATTTTTAACATAAGATTTGATGAAAGATAATAATTGTTAACATAAACTATTGTTTATAATATAGAGGTGTTTGGATCAGTAGTAAATCACAACAATAAAATTTTATTAATTATTAACCAATTGAATTTTTGGTTGATAGCTCTTTCGAGTATTGCCAAATACCCATCAACAGTGGTCTCAGAAATATTTCTTATATTTAAATGTTCATAAATAATGTTTTGAAACTGCAACTACCAAGCGTTGAACTTGTGCCCTGCTAAATTTAAGGCTCAGAGTCAGTGTTCATTAGCTAACTGATCCAAAGCCGAACTTGACTTGATGTTCGCACATTTTTTTTGGAGTTTTGTTAATTTGCTGTGAAAGTTATTAAAGTTATTATGGTATTATATTAGAAGGAAATCATAAATCAGATGTAGAATAATAAAATTAATTAATTATATTTTTAATTGTTAAATTTCAAATTATTTTTGTAGAGACATTACTTAGTGCATTAGTTTATTACTAAATCTGTATAGAACAATGGTTTATAACTTGTGGTTCGCGAGATGGTTCAAAATGGTCCTTGAATCAAATTGAACAGGTATGGATACATAGTTTGTAGCTTTTCCACTGCGACCTCACTTAAGATAACAAAGAGTAAGCACTAACATTATTATGTCATTGTTAATTATTAAGGTAGAATAAGAATCAAAAACATTTAAACATTACAATAAGGAAACATTTATCAAACGAAATGATCGTGTTTTCTTGTAAAGACATTATACTAGTCTGTTTTGACCTGCTTGTGTTGTCCGTTTAGGTAGTGTTAAATGTTACATGGTGGTCGAGATCGACAAGTGGCTCTAGGAAGTAGACCCGGTCGTTCTTGGAACCACAAAAACATCATAGTGGTTTTTGGTCACAAAAAATGTTGGGAACCACTGGTATATAACCTAAACTAGGAGTGTAATACATTAATATTATATAATGTGATATTTATTTATAGGGATGCAAGGGGCAGTAGTGAGTGCCTCAATGGGGGAGTGATGCGAATAAACACCCTAGCCATCTTAACAGCCAACCTCACCTACACGTCATGCATCTTTTTCTTGCAGACGATGATCTGACGACCGAGCACAGACTGTATAACTTGAAAACACATAGCAGAGTGGAAAACCTCTAACTATCAAACACTAATTTTATCTCCAGATTGGCAGGGGATCTGGTCCTCGGGATTGGGGGTTGATCACAGCTTCGCATTGGAAAAAAACACCAGCTACACAACCTTCTTTAAAAAAGAAGGAGGCCAAAGTTCGCACTGGACTGTAGTGTCAAATAAGAAGAAGAAGAATATATATAGAAAAATATATATTTATAATAAATAGTTAAATGGATGTATTTATATGGAATCTAATCTTCTAGGTTGGGGATTGATTGCAAGGTCAGCAGCTTTGAATCAGAAAAAAACAGCTGCTAAGCAATCTTCTTTAAAAAAGGAGTCCAAAGTTCGCACTGGACTGTAGCGTCAAATAAGAAGAAAAATATATATTTATAATAAATAGTTAAATGAATATATTTATATGGAATCTGGTCCTCTAGGTTGGAGATTGATTGCAAGGTCAGCAGCTTTGCATCAGAAAAAAACACCTGCTAAGCAGTCTTCTTTAAAAAAGGAGGCCAAAATTCACACTGGACTGTAGTGCCAAATAAGAAGAAGTAGAATATTTATTATATTAATTATAATAACTGGCCAAATATTTATCTGTTACTTTTTTGTCTATTTTTTTACTATATTATATTATATTCTCAATATTTATATTGTTATAAGCTGTTTTATATAAAATTAAAATATTTTCAAATCTTAAAATATTTGGCGCTTTGTTTATCAATTCCTTTAACAAATCTCTGTCCATATTTATGAACATATTTGAGCAACATCTCTCATGTGTTAAACATTAAACAGAGCTACTGTGACGCGTCGCGAAAGAGATACAGCAGCAGAAAATTTTACTGCTCATGTTATTTGTGATTTTATACAGAAAACACTTATAAAAAAATATTTAAATGTCTATTAAAGTATTTTAAAGTTAAATACACCAAGTATTTGCACAAAATTATATAAATTTATATTTAATTCGCACAAAAAATCTGTATATAAGTGCAGCGGAAACTTCTGCACTAGCATTTTTCTTTATCTACGTTTGAGTTGAGTTATTTTTTGTTTAATATTTCTTTATACCTAAAATTACAAGTGTGTGCAACAGCAGCGGCGGCAGCAGCAATAGCAATAGCAACAACAACACAAAGAACAAGCACGAATAGGAGCGAGCACGAAGAAAATAAAAAGGTAAAAAGTGATAAAATGAGTCATAAGTTTTGAGTACCAAAAAAGAACTAAACAAAAGAAAATGTGATGAGTTAATTAATTTACATAGAAGAAAGAGATATCTGCGAAAATAATGTGATTTTTTAAAATTTTAGGTGAAATTTTCTACAATAGAAGCAAGCAAAAGAAAAACGCGTTTACAAAGCTCAACTGCGAACAACAATTAAATAAAGTAGAAGCACCGCACCGGCTATACGGCTATACGACAGCATTTACGCATCAAACATACATTTGAGTAATTTTTGATATATTTTAATATATTTTTTTTTTATTAATATACACATAAGTATCGCAACTCGACGACGTTCAAGCAGCAGGAACAAAGTGCAAGTTCAAGTAAAACTATCAATTAATATATAAAAAAAAAAAAAAAGATTTTGATAAATGTAAAAGGCTGAACAAAAGCAAAACTACGTACGTAAAAATTCCATTTTAAATATTTTATTTAAACGAACTTAGAGTAAAACTGAAAAGAGAGTAACGCTTGGTGAATTATACAAAACTAACCAAAAAGCAGCAAAGTAAAAAGCAAAGTGATAACACGCCTAGTTTAAGGGCATACAAAGTCTTCAATCAACTAAATATTTAATATTATAAACAAAAAATCGAAATCGAAATCAAAAAAGAAACGCTTAAAACTTAGTTTAAAACTAAACGCCCTTAAAGAGGCCAAAAAAGTTGAAGCAGTTAAGCAACAAACAAAAAAAAGCAAAAAAAAAAGTAAAGTAAAGTAAAGAAAGTAAAATGCGTGAATATAAAATCGTTGTATTAGGCAGTGGCGGTGTTGGTAAATCGGCGCTGACCGTCCAATTCGTACAGTGTATATTCGTCGAGAAATATGATCCTACAATCGAGGACAGTTATCGCAAGCAGGTGGAGGTTGATGGTCAGCAGTGTATGCTCGAGATCTTAGATACGGCCGGTACAGAGCAATTCACCGCCATGCGCGATCTCTACATGAAGAATGGGCAAGGTTTCGTGCTTGTCTATTCCATAACCGCACAATCAACATTTAATGATTTACAGGATTTACGCGAACAAATTCTACGGGTTAAGGATACAGAGGATGTGCCAATGGTACTAGTGGGTAACAAATGCGACTTAGAGGATGAACGTGTAGTCGGTAAGGAGTTAGGCAAAAGTTTGGCTAATCAATTTAACTGCGCCTTCATGGAAACATCTGCCAAAGCAAAAGTAAATGTTAATGATATTTTCTATGATCTTGTTAGACAAATTAATAAAAAATCGCCAGAGAAAAAGCAGAAAAAACCGAAGAAATCCCTATGTGTTCTACTATAAGACTACATTTTATATTTCCTCACATATATATTTTTTTAATTATACCAAGATTTTTGCTTTTCTTATCAAACACAACAAAAAAAAACAAAAACAAAAACAAAAATAAAATAACAAATGTTGTAATTTGTGTAAACCTGAAATCCACAAATTTTACGCAAAACCCATATTGTATACATTATTCTAAGCAAATAGGAAGCCGAAGAAGAGGTGTTCATTTAAATACTAAATACTGATATATACAGATATATATACACATATATATATATATATATAGAGAGAGAAGAGTAGTAAAGTGCGGTACTACAAGACTCCATAAACACATGTTAGACTCTAATCATTCCTACATTTTTGTATGTCAATAAAAATATAGATAAAAGTAGTAAATATTTTTAACAATTTTTATTCCAATAATATAGTCTGATAAAAATATTACTAAACATAATTCTCACAAAAAATATAGTTCGAAATATAAACATAGATGCTGCATACAAAAGGCTTGAACTTGAAGTAAAAAATCCTAAACTCATCCATAAATGTTTAACAGTGAAAAATATTTCAAATAACTAAAACAGAGTGAGATTTTTAACTCAATTTTCAACAGTAAAAATAGTAAAAATTAAAACTTTTATACTTTAAAATTATTTCCAACTTAAAAAAAATTAAATAATATTTTCAACTTAAAAAAATAAAATTTATATTTTAAAAATCTCTTTCCACATAAAAGATAAAATTTATAACTTAAAAATTATTTTCAAAATTAATTACTTTTAAAGTTTAAATGATCACCTCTTTAATCTCAACGCTTCAGATTTTGTATAGGAAATTAATTATAAAAACAAAAAAAAAACTTTATATATATATGTTAAATTTTCCAGTATATGCCTAATTTATTTGTTATATATTTTATGTTTTTGCCTGATTGTTTTCCATGTGAACAAAAAATATTTAACAATAAATTTAAAATAAAACCGATATAAAAAAAATATTTAGGAATATGCAATACGTAAAAGTAATCATGGTGTCGTAATGTTTAATTATTAACAAAACAAAAACAGAAACAGAATAGAAATAAAAATAAAAATAAAAACAAAAACATTCATTAAGTAAAATACCAGAAAATTAAATATTTTACACTATACAATGTACTTCTATACAAATTTACAAACAAACAAATATTATATTATTTGTGAAATTTTTTAATAAATTATTAAATCAAGAAAAGAGATACATAAACACATACACACACCTACACAAACACAATTTTTTATTATTATTGATAAAAAAAAAAAATTGAAAATTTATAGCCGTTTAAATAATTAATAAATTTAAAAAAATATATAATGCAAATCAATCATGTTTAAAAAATAAACTTAAAATATAAAGAAAATCGTGAAAAGTCCCACTTATTAAATTTAAAATTTATATATAATATATATAAAAATTAAAAGAATAAAATCTAATAAATTACTATCTAATTTCTAAAACATAATATTATTAAAAAATTAAACAAAACAAAAAAAATTTATTATCTTCTTAATATTAATGAATGTATTATGTTTTTAACAATAAATAATTAAAAAATAAATACAAATCCGAAATTATTAAATATATGTAAAAAATTAGTTATAAATCAATTATTTTTATTTAAATATATAATACTGTTGTTAGGTAGCATCAAGCTTGTTAGGTGTAGAAATTTTCCTAAAAAAGATAGTGAAAGTACTCAATGAAGAAGGGTCCCCTTCTTCTCTCAGTGATATACTCTCTAAAACATGTATTTTAGGGTAAATATATTCAGTGACCACATTGAGTATTTCGCTGTTCACAGTGAGTATTTGGTTACACATAGTGAGACTTGGTTGATAACAATGAGTATACAGACTGATTACTATTGCATGTGAAGCCATGCTACGAGATTTAAAATTTCATTCAAACTTTATTATCTTCTTGACAATGGTAGTATTCAATAATATGCAAGTTAAGCCTCAGCCTCTCTTAATTGTCAAAAAAAAAATCTAACGCTCTCTCTGAGAGAGTACCTCAAAAACAAATGTGTTTTATAATGATTAGGCTTACTATACAGTGTCACATAAAACCTTGCTCGGAGATTAAATATTAGATTTAATAATTTTTCTCATAATTATGACATAACGACGAAAATGCTAATCAGTCACTATACACTGCATGGTCAATATGGATTAAACAAGTAATGAAATCTAAGTCAGTAACAGGTTCACCTTGTATAGTTCATCTTCGGGGAAGAACGATGCCTTCCGCGTGCAGCACGAGCTGTCCTAACTCAGTTGAGAACAGGATATAGGTATGTGTTAAATTGTCACTTGACAATTCGATCTTTCGCCTCGCCCCATTAAAGTGGCTATGTTTTTCTACACTGATCCTTTTTGACTTCAATTTAAATCCCAATCATGTCCAATCCATTCTTACTCCTAAGCAATTCTCTATTAACATGCTAAAGCATATATACGTGTTTCTAATTCCTTTCATATTATCTGCTTTATATTACTGCGGACCACACAACAAGCTAAAAATGTATGTGTCGTGACATTATTTTATTATTTTTTAATTTTAATATATATATATATATATAAATATTAAGACTAATATTTTTAGAATTTCTAGTCATTAAAAATGGTTGAATAATTTACGTTTGGTAAACCTTTGTGCAGTTTTAAGTAATATATTTAGATCTTTCTTATTTTTTTTATATTATTGGAAAAATAGATTTTTAACGCCAGTGGTTTCCATAATTTTATATTGTTTAATATATTAAATTATTTGTAACCAATTACGCAAATAGAAGTTGTCGTTTTAATATGAAAAGAAATACTTTTAAAAATTTTGCTTAGTCATTGTTCGGACGGAGGTCATGTGAACTATTAGTCAGCCACCTTTCTAAAGCAAAAGGGAAATATACATTGTGACCGAAAAGTTTTCGGGAAATTTTAAATAAAACGCAAAATTCTTAACCTTCATCAATATTTATTTGATCTCCTTCAAAATATGCTCATCGAAGCGATACAAAACAAATGCAAGTCTTCTCCAATATCAAACATCTTTTTTATAGGCGCTTTCCGGTATGGCTTTGAGTTCCCTCTGCGAATTCTGTTTTACGTCTTCTATGGATTCAAAACGCGTTCCTCTGAGTGGTAATTTGAGGTTGGGAAACAGGAAAAAGTCACACGGTGCAAGATCAGGTGAATACGGTGGCTGTTCGATGGTATTTATTGAATGTTTGGCCTTAAAATCGTTGATAATGTTGAACAAATTGAGGTGAATCGGAACAAGCCGGGCGTTGACACGTCGCATACACAAATTGTCCACCAAAATCAAACGAGCCATCTCACGACCGATGCCTAGCTCTCGTGCTATCTCTCTAACACTCACATGAGGATTTTTGAACACGATTTCCTTTGCCTTTTCAATGTTTTCGTCGGTGGTAGAGGTCGAAGGTCGTCCAGAACGCGGCATGTCTTCGACGGTCGTACGACAGTCCTGAAAGGCTTTGTACCACTCATAAACTTGAGTTTTCGATAAAACTGATTCCCCATAAGCCTTTTGTAGCATTCGCAACGATTCTGCACACGAAATTTCGTTCGAAAAACAAAATTTGATGCAAACTCTTTGTTCAATATTTTTTTCCATTGTTTTTTTCGCAACGCACTACTGAGGTGAACTGGTTTCAACAGCTGCCGTAAACGAACTGTCCGACAGATCGCGCTCATGTTTTGGCATAGTAATTAAAGGACAGTGCTGCCAAACTACATAAACTTAAAATATCGAAAAATATACAGCGCGCGAATTTTAAATGAGAATTTCCGAAAACCTTTCGGTCACAATGTACATACATAAATATTATTTGTAAGTAGTATTGGAGTTTTTTAACCACAAAGTATCATTTTTAATTTTCTGACCAAATAGTTTTCTTATAATATAATTTATAATTTTTCAATACAAAAAACAAAACATTGGTTATAGTTGCCAACGGGAATGAACTTTCTTAAAACATAAGCGTCTCCGCTTTGACCCAATGTAACTTCAATTGAAAACCCACTCATCCTCATTCCTTTCTTGCTCCCAAGTAATCCTCTCTCCTCACATAATGGCAAAGCATACCTAAATCCTAACGCATGTATTCGTCATGTAAGTCCCCTTATGTTATTTCCTTCGTATTATTTGCTTGGTAAATCTTCAAGGGCTGCAACAACAATAAGCATTATTAAAATATTCTTTCAAAATTTGTAGAAATTTCGGAAATGTCTTTTTTATATCCTTTATATAACATTTTTAATCTGTACTGTATTGAGTGAACATTTTTACGGGGTTTTAGAATTGAATTTATTTTTTTTATGTTACTTTTTACACTGCCTGCTAATCTTGTTAAATTTATTGCAGTTGTCGAGTTACCGAGAGTTTATCTTTTTAATTGTTCAGAAATATAGAGTTCCTAAGGATCTTAAGATTATATTGATTCATTTTGTAATTGTACTCCTTCAAAAACATTCTTAAATTTTCAGAAGGTAATTTAAGATTGCTAAAGCGTTTTATTACGGGTCATAATGGTGTGAAATATCACTCCTATATAAATATCAATTATCTGCTAATTCGGAATGCAGATTATGTTTCGAAAATAAGGAAACAGCTATGCATATTCTTTGTGACTGTGCAGCTTTAACTTATTTCAGAATAAGAGCTCTTCTCTAGATTTAGTTCTAGACTTTGTTCAAAAAGCTTCAAAGTGCTTTATGTAATAACAAGTGAAGTTGGTACAGTAGGACTCTTCTGATCGCAATACCGCAATTTAATAATAATCGTTTTAGTAATAAAAAATAATAATGCCGTATAAGAAAACTCATAAGTTAAGAAACCACCTCGAAACTCTGACAAAGCTTGAAATGGAACTTCATAAGATTTAGAAAATATTCTTACTTCTTACCATTAACGTTAAAATCACCAAATGTAAATGATGATTTTGGAACATATGGTATGTTTGAAGAAGGTAAACACAAATACCTGATGAAACTTCCTAGGATCTACACAACACCTTTACACCTTATTATTAACGTAAAAACGCCAAAAATGTAAATGATAGTTTAAGAACTTATTTTTGGAAATAAGCGACATTTTTGGTAGCCACATAAATAGGGGATGGGACTTTGTAAGATCTAAAAAGTACTCTTACTCGTCTTCGTCTAACCATTAACGTAAAAAACCACAAATGTAAATGTAAATGATGGTTTGGCACTTATTTTTGGAAAAGCTAGAGAGTAATATGGGATGGATCTTCGTAAGATCTACAAAATGCTCTTACTCTTTATTTTTAACGTTAGAACTTATTTTTGGAAAAGGCAGCTATATAAATAGGGGATGGAACTTCGTAGGATCTACAAAATACTTTTACTCCCCTTACCATTACTCCTCTTGAATGATAGTTTTGGAGTCGATAAAAAGCTAAACACATTCCTTTTCATTCTTTTGAATGTAAATTGAGATCCTTTTCGTAGGATTTAGAAAATGGTCTTACTCCTTATCAATAATGTAAAAACCCCAAAAATGTGAATGATAGTTTTGGAGTCGATTTTTAAAAAAGCAAAACACATTCCTTTTAATTCTTTTGAGTGTAAATTGAGACCCTTTTAATTTTATTTTAAGTCTTCATCTCTCGGAATGCTTCATTTCATTCACACGCATTTTTTAAAAGTGAATCATAATGATTTTCTTAGTAATTTAATGTTATGAATGTTATAAAATTATGATTATTTTTTATTAAAATTTTGAATATTCTTAGAGTTTGTTTATTGTGGTATTTAACCTTGAATAATTGTTTCAAATTATGCTTCTTTTCTTTATATAAT